GAGCCGCTTGCAGGCGACCCGGCAGGACCTGGACACGTCATCAGTCGGGCCGCGGAACGATTTGTGGACAGAGTTCACCACGCGCTTCCGAGACCCTGACCACCAGGTACACGGTCTTGCGTAGGGGATTGATTAGGACGGATCGGCCGAGAACGTTGTACATAGACAGCAGTCGATATGTATGTTGACACGCATGCCTTTTTTTTGTGGTCATTTTAGCCATCGTATTCAACACCTCATGACGTCCACGGACGATCGCCATTGTTTTAGGTAAAAACCCATGAGGTATCCACCCCCAAGAGCGGGTCAACCTGCTGTTGACGTACACCGGTAACTTATGGTGTTGTTGCTGACGCCGACGCCGATCATACTGCTGTAGTTGCTTCGAAACCTTCACCTATTGGTGGAAGACGTAGAAAACGCGCAGAAGAATTCCACAGGAGTGCATAGCCAAACAATATTACACGACAGAAAAAAATAACACTGCAGAAGCAACGCTAAAATACAGGCCGGGATCAGGCCGACAGTACTAAGCTTCCCACGAGAGGTGCATTCCCCGTTCGGTATGTTGTTTTCCTTCGTATCAAAATCGTGTTAAATTCCTCGCTCGCCCGGGGGGGCGGTACTCTATGTAAGTTTTTTTTAAGAACACGTGTATGATCTGCGCTGCCCGCTCCCTCGCTCTCTCGCTGTATGCATGCCCCATATATGGGTGATGTGGACGTTTTGCAGGTGAGAAAAATCGTGGACGACCAGCAAGTGTCTCACGTCGACCCGAACATCATCCAGCAACCAAACATCTCCGCGGAGAAGCTTTCCAGGATGTGGGCTACGGCAAAGGCGAAGTGGAACCAGCCTTATGCCAACTGGAAGAGTGAATCCGGCAACAACCAGCCATGGCTTTCATTTTGTCAAGGTAAGGGATGGGTGGAGTGGGGCTGGGTACAAAATAGCGTCTGTTTGCTCGAGGAACCTTGGGCGATTTTGTGGTCGTGGCATAAATTCCGCCCATCCTCCTTCACAGCGTGCAAGTGCTGCTACGGTCGGAGTTTTGATGTTATACTTGGAGTTCTCGACAGTGTTGTAAACCGTGCTCCAGGAATGACGTTGGCATTGAGGCCTGATGGTGTATTTTGAAGCACGACCAAAGACCATACCAATTGATCCAAAAAAACCTCCCGCCCGCGCCTTGCATTTTTCTTTTTTTTTTTACAGGGTGCACGGACACGTATGTTCTCGGTTGCGCAATCGAGAAATACCCCGAGCTGAACCAAGTGTGCAACAATCTCCTCCCCGAGGGCGCTCAGCGAGAGGACGACGGGACCGGAGAGGGTATTGTCTGCACAGGCGGTGCCGACCGCCGGGCTGCCGCCAAGCGGGAGGGCGCCAGGCTCAACGAGCAGAACAGGCGGGGAAAAAAGCCAAAAAATAAGGGGGTGGGGCAAAGCGTGGCAGAGGCTACGTCCGCTGCCATGAAAACCGCACTCAAAGATATTGAGCCACTGCTGGAAAAGGTTGGCGGATCAGAAAAATCAGAGTGGTACAAAAAAAAAGAGGAACACGCTTGCAAGACTGCTGAACACGACAGCAAGGCTTCTGGCCTCGCCCTCCAGAAGGAAATGACCGAGTCCCACGCCGAATTCTCGAAGAAAATTGTGGAGGAGGAGAAAGAAAAAGCAGAGGGTTATCAGACGAGAGTTAGATTCCTGCGCAAAATGTTGGCCGGCATCGAGAAGGAAATGTTTGGCGACGAATAACACCCATATGCACTCCCGGAAGAGTGTTACCGTGCAATCGTCGAATTTTATGCATGCGTGACGGGGCGGGGGGCGGGGGGGTAGTTTCATTTTTATCGTTGGGAATGGTTGAGTCAACGTCTTCGTTTCGTCGCAGCATTGAGGATACGTGCGCCTCCGCATAGACGTGTGGGTTTGGTAGGCAACAACACTTTGAGAGGATGCTTTACGGCAACAAAGGAGTATCAACAAAATAAATATAGTGGAAGAAAGCCGAGACCGTTGTGGTTCACGGGCAAGTTGCTGTGACTGTATTCAACGAACACGAGGATGCGTTTTTTTATTTCTCTCCCTGCTGCAGGGCTTGCTTGCTGCGAGGGTCGTAGCCTTCTTTTTTTTTTGGACCAGCGGGGGGGGAGGTTTCAATTTTTTGTTGGGCATGGTTGAGTCAACGACTTAGTCTTTTCGTAGCATCAGTTTTTTTAGGATACGTGCGCCTCCGCAGAGACGTGTGGGTTGTTTGGCTGGCAACAACACTTTGAGAGGATGCCTTGAGGCAACAAATGAGTATCAAGGATAATATGGTTGAAAAACGCCGAAGACATTGCTGTCTTGGGGGTAACCTGCCGTGCCGCCAATCTGCGGACATGCATATCGTTTGGTGTTTTCCTTTTTGCAAGACTTGTTCTTGCAACCCAATACTACGTTGGGTGTTGGCGGGAACTCTGAGGCACGCTTTGATTCCGCAATTTTGGAGCCTTGCAATTTTTCCCATCTCCGCGCATGCTCACTTGAAGCGCAGGAATGTGTTCGCGATGGGATTCGACAAGACCCCAATTTTTAGCGTGTGTGTGGGTCTCCTTCAGGTCTGCAACCTGGAGCAATGTTTCACCCACGCGACGAATATTTAATACAGGGATGCAGAGACATCATTTAAAGTTGTATCAACGACAACAACGTTTTCGATTCACACCCTCCTATCAATTAGGAAAAAAAAGTCGAACATGCCCACATTTTTAATGCCCTAGGCAAAACAAGCACCCTCCAAGACCCACAGGACCCCGCTTTCATCCGCACACGATGCATGTTAACCATAAAGTGTTGCCGGCACGAACACACACAATACGAACCAAGTGTACCAGGACACATCTGGTCAGAACGCTCCACACCGACACCCACAAAACATGTCAGCGAGAATCAACATGTCACACATCACACCCCCCACCTCTCCCCGGGATGCGCCGACACCCTAATACCACACCCAAAACACGTCGTTCCAGCGCTCTCCGCCCTCTACATTGAGGTATCTCCCTCCCGCGCCGCTATCCTCCCTTTCACGCGTCTCGTCATACCGTGGAAGCTAGCCTACTTCTGCCGCCATCCGCTCATGTGGCCCCTAACCGCAACCCGCCCTTTTAGTGTCCCCGCCACGGGAAGAATCGCATCCCCGCGCGCCCCACCCCCACCCCCCTTGCCCCCCGCCGCGCCTCTCGCCCGCTTGTAGTAGCGACCTTCCTCCCCATCCGCCCCCATCCGCCCTATGTAGACCCGTCTCCACTTCCCGCTTGTGCGCGCGCGACACGATGCCGCCGGGCTGGATATTTGCATACGAATTCCTCCGGCGGTTGTAGTCCGGCCTCCACTGCTTCTTCGACTCCAGGGCCGTGCGGATAGCCGCTCGGGCCGGGGTCTCACCGCTCCTCGAAGGAGCCGGCTGCTCCGTTTGCCAGCCATCCGGCAAGGTGCGCTGCGTAGCACAGAGGGCCGGCCGGTTGCGTCCGCTGCGCGAGTCCTCCTCTGCAACCTGGATCGGCGATACCTTCTCGTCTTGCAGGAAGTTGTGCAGATGGAAAAGAGCCGTGATGAGATCCGCGCGTCCTGCGAACTGCACGCGGAGAGGTCTCCACAGAATGCCCCAAGTCGAAACCAGGATGCCGAAGCTCTGCTCGATCTTGACACGAAGCTGGCTCAGGTGGAAATTGAACGAGTCCTCACCCGCCGGCAGGAGCCTCCCAGGGTACGGAGTCAGAAGCTTTTCTCCGATGGGGTAGGCGGCGTCACCAATGATGTGAAATCCGGTGGGCAAGCGGGCGACGGCCTTGGCGAGAAAATATCGATTCCATGCTACCCAGTCGTTCGTAGAGCCTGGTGAGATCGCCGACATCGCGCAAAACCGGTAGTCGGCGGTGCACATCGCTTGTACGTTGATACCGTACGTTGATACCGTACGCGAGGACGTTGGCGGTGTCTTTCGCATACGGAGCCTTGGCCTTGATGAACAGACCATCCACGGCGGCGACGACCCAGGAGAAAATGCCATCGGTGCTCTTCTCCTGCATTTGTAGACGGCAGACACGAGGGCGGGAAAGTAGCAGTGTCGGGAAGGGATATAAAATAAGTCGAGAGATACCTTGACAAAAATTGGTAACAGTGTTCAGCTGTACGTTGTGTGGGTTGATGTCATCGGCGACGGCGCCATCGCCAGCAACGGTGGGAATACCATGTAAACTGAGAGTTGGGCCGTTTGATAATCATAATCATAATCNCAAGGGATATAAAATAGGTCGAGAGATACCTTGACAAAAATTGGTAACAGTGTTCAGCTGTACGTTGTGTGGGTTGATGTCATCGGCGACGGCGCCATCGCCAGCAACGGTGGGAATACCATGTGAACTGAGAGTTGGGCCGTTTGATCATCATAATCATAATCATTCTGCGTCACGTACAGCGGTACAAAGGTATCAGGGCATTTTAGAGCCACGGAGGTGACTGCATCGATTCCACACTCTTGTATCGCTAAAGTTGTTGCCGGGCCACTGCTGTTGCGGGGTCGAACCAACGTGGCCAGCATACACAAAGGATGGCAACAACATTTATTTGTCCAAGGACACCGAAAGCTGGCGAACCACCCGGGACCCGGGGGATATTTTTCGGTTCGAACCATGCTGACCACGATGACAACCCGAACTCGTACCCCCCGGCGACAACATTTTTGTTTCTCTCTTATCAACGAGGGCTGCGTATAGATAGTCCTCCCTACGCTAAAACGGCTGGAAACAGCAGACGTGAAAAAATACACGATATCCCGCGGTTGGTCGAAAGAGTGCCGTCAAGAATAACCGTAGTTGCAGTACTGACCACCGTTAGGTCTCACCTTGAATCTGTTGGCGTTTCGCATGCAGCCTTCCTCGGTCAGGGGGAAGTCAAATGCCCCAATCGCAGGCGTCTCGTTGATGGCATCGATCACTTGCCACAAGATGTCGAACGTGACCGCCCTCGACAAGCCAAACATGAGGGCAACATCCCAGTAACTGCCGCCAGCCAGGATCCTCAACGCCGCGGCAACGCGGACTTCCACAGCTATGGCGCCGTTGGTTGGCGACCGCAGTGCTGTGGGGTTTCCGAGCGACGCGCAGATAATGTTTGCAGGATGAGCGTGTGTCGTTCAGGACAGAAGTACGAG